AAGTTCCTGGTCCAAAATGAAGTTTGATTACTGCCTGGGGGCACAAGGGGCACCCATCATGCTAGAAGTTAAGGGGACCCTTCCTGGGCCACAAAGCCCGGGGAGGCAGGAAGCGATAGAATCACAAAATCACAGAGCTGGAAGGGACCTTGGAGGTCTTCTATTCCAACTGAATTGGACAGTGAGGAGGTTGGGGAGGAATCTGGGCCAGTCCTGGAGTCTGGGGAAGGCTCTGATGAGGGCTCTGTGTCGGAGGCAGAGAGGGGTCCAGGGCTGTCTGGCAGTTCTCAGCTGCCTTCGGAGTCGGACAGCAGTGAGGCAGAAGGACAGCTGGAGCCTGTTCCCAGTGTGCCTATGCGCAGAGCTGCCAGAAGACAGGAACAACTAAGAAAACAGGATCGACTTAGGAGTAAAGCCACACCTTGGAGGTGATTAACCCCTCCCATAGGGAGCGTAAGAGGAGTGAATGTGGAGGGGGCTTTTGCAGGAAACAATTTGTTCGTTAGGTCCGGAAAGTTCTGTGGGTGATTATAAGAGACCCTGTGCCAAGTTTTGCTTTGCCCTGCCTTCTGGAAACTAGTTATCTGGCAGTTCTCCAAGCGAGATAAGGTGCGTGTGGATAAACATTCCTCTGAAAGACTGTTTGCCAAGCCTTGCTGACTGCGAATGAAAGGAATTCACAGTCGTGCAAATAAAAGGGTTTTTTGCAGGGACCAAGACTCCACTTCTTTCTTTCCAAGGAATCCTGGGTCAGAACCCTTCCTCACTAAAAGCCCTTTATAAAAACGCCTATTTCCCCCTTTCTTCCCGCAGCTGGCAGCTCCAGTTCGTTCCCTCCGAATTCCGGGGACAGTTGCCCAAGCCGTTTGCCAAGGGCCCTGGGGCCACCCGCCTTGTTCCCACAGACATGAATGATCAGAACCGAGAAGAACCTTCCAGATATGTAAGTGAGGGCCTGTCTTCTTTTCAACTCTAGGCCTGTCTCTCGTGGTGCATCATCACCCTCCCCTCTGCAAAAGAGGGGGGGCAGGTCTGGCCAGTTTGACCGGTGACCTCTGCCCCTCGGTAGGTTTAAGGCAGGGGTGTCAAACTCCATTTCAGCATTGTATTTGACCTCAGGGGGGTGAGGGTGGCCAGAGCGGGCGTGGCCAGCTCGACGTTACTTGTGTTGGGGGCGCCTGGGGTAGGCCAAGCATTCTGCCTGCAAAAATGGGCCCCCAAGATCCATTTTTCAGCTACGACGGCCTCCTGCAGTGGCAATTAACAATAGCGCCTAGACTTATATACCACTTCATAGTGCTTTCCAGCCCTCTCTAAGCGGTTTACAGAGTCAGCCTCTTGTCCCCCAACAATCTTTTTTTTTTATTGAAGAGTTTTAATAAATTTTACAAATATTTTACAAATAGGAGCTGAGGTGGCACAGTGGTTAGGGTGCAGTACTGCAGGCCACTTCAGCTGACTGTTATCTGCAGTTCAGCGGTTCTAATCTCACTGGCTCAAG